CGGCAAGGGCGCCCGCCTGAGCCCCCGTTGTGTTACAATACGTTGTTTTGAGATGAAGTGAGTGGAAAATGTAAAAATTAGCCCTGTGATTGTAGCCTTATAAATTATGCTTTTTAGATTTTACCAAGTGGCAGCACTTTGGCATGATTATACATTCTAAAGAATCTGTGATGATGTAGAAATCCAAATATGAAAGCAACTGTTTTGGGAGTTCCCTGTTTTTTTAAATGCAATCCTGTACCAAATGTTTTTTATTTTTATTTTATTGTGGGGTGCAAGCAAATTTTATAGGGCACTTGAGACGGGTAAATCAATACAACTACATAAATAATCCCTCATCAAAGTCAGAAAGTGACATTGTGATGATGAAAGCTGTCTACAGAAGAAAGTAAATATCCAAGATGATGGAAAGTACTTGTTCATTGGTAGGAGGAAATGTTGCATATTAATACCCTTCCTCATATCTTATTGCTGATTAGGGACTTTCAAAACAGACTTCAGGTCTTTGGCATTACTGGAGTCTTTAGAGTTGTTTTCGCTTGCTGTAGCTGTCAGTCTATTGAGCAGCTCTGGTCAACTGGATCTCCTGTGGCTTTGTTCTCTTTGAGTTCTCCATTACTTATTTGAATTAGTCTGCTTAATAGGACACGTTTATCATTTTTAGATCTCGCTGATTTGGAAAAATCATTTTGGACTGTGTAGTAAAATCCAAATTAGTTTCTGTTTCAAACTTTTCCACTGCATTGTAAAGCCATCTCCCTCATCATATAATTGAACTTACTAATAATTAGTTAACTGAACATTTATAGTAGTGCTTTGTTCCAACATCCTGCATTTAAAGGAGCAGAATTTGACTTTCCCTTTAAAGTTTAATTGCTAAGTTATTTTTTAACATGGCTGAATACTGAGTTACATTTTTATTTATCCTAAGCTTCAGTTTAATACAACTACCCACTCCAGAGATATTGAACATGTTCATAGTTGGTTTTTTTAAATGTCTCATGCTGTGCAACTGTATCTTGAGGGACCTTTTTGGTTGGTACTCATTAACATGGTTTATGGTGGACTACTGGAAAGAATAGTGTATTATGAGTAGGCAAACTCATAAGTTCAGGAAAGAGTGCAAATACTATCTGGGACCATTATTCATATTTGCAAAGTCAATCATACTTCCTTTCTCTGTTATCAGTTATTTACACTGCCACAGTACAGCATTTTTTTTTTCGCTGTACCTACAGTATAAAAAAGCACACTTATTGATTTTGGTTTCGTTTTCAGAATGCTACTGTGCAGAGTTCAAAGGCCATTGCCAAAATTAATACTTTTACAGTTATTTAGTTCTAAAAATGTAATCTTTTTTACAATCGTTCTCTATCTCTGAAATGTTCCCAATCATTATTTTCTTAGTTCGGAGAACTTATTACTTTATAGTAGCTGAGAATCCTGTTGAGACCAAAACAAGTCCACAGCTTGCATATGTATTCTGCTGGAACAGAATAAAACTGTGATGAAGACCACAATGTAATACTAGGTAAAAAAAAGCTAACTCTGGGATGTCAAAATATTTCCAATACTTTAGTTCATATTGATTTCCTATTGACATGTTCATTTTCTGTGTTTGGATTTAATTAATTATTAAACATGTAATATGCAAATACCATAGCTAGGAGTTTACCCCCTATGAGCAGTCTGTATTGAATCATTGTTTCTGTGAGTATTTTCACTCTGCATCAGCGCTCTGCACCCAGTAGATAAATACAGTAAGTGTGTACTGCATGTGTACCCCAGGCCACGTTCCCTGATACAAGAGTCTTTTCCATAGCTCGCCTTATTGTTTGTGAGCGTGCTAGAAAACACATAAAAATGTCTATTTTGAAAACTCATGCCTGGAAAAGTCCTTGAAAATGATGGAAACATTTATATTAGCTGAATGAATAAAGTGTGGGCTTGGGGGCTGAGTTCATGGCTGGCCAAAGCAGGGTGTTTAGCACTGTGTCACGTTTATCACAAGAATGTTCTGTTGCTGGGGTAGTTGATTGAATGTGCTGTTGTCTGAAAGTGTGAAAAATTCCTTGAATAAATATAATGGCAGATACTCTACCTAAATGAAGTTTTTAGTTTGAGCTAATTAAAGAGTTGAATAATGAATGCATTTAATTAAATGTGAAGGTTAATTGTATAGTTCTCTCTAAGTGTTATGAACTATTGAATTTTTAACCATAATGCCAGTTATTGGGATTATGTGTTCAGAATTTGATAAATGCAGTACTAAAATTAGAAACTAATACTATAAATCTCTTAAGATGTATAATTTAATTTATTTGTAATTTAAAAAAATGGACTATAAAAAGCCTCTTACTCCTACATTCCAGCAATCTTCCATAATAGCTTAGTCCAATACAGAGTTACAGTGGGCTGGATCCTTTAATAGTTTATGTGGCTTATGCTTTTGTCTAAGTCATTTTATATATCCAGCTGGATATTTAACTGGCGCAATCTGAGTGAAGTACCTTATTCATGGACATAACAGCAGTGTCACACTTGGGATTTGAACCCATATCTTTCCAGTTACATCTCTAGCACCATAACCACTGCTCCACACTGCTGTCTTAACCTGGCAGGAGGTGGATGTGAGTCAGGAAACACAGTCCATCACTAGGCACACATGTACACGTGTACTCCAGTGCACTCAGACATTCATATGGGAGACAATTTAGAGAGACCAATGAACTAAGCTTGTCTACAAGCTATAGGAGAAAACCTTGAGTGAGTTACAGAAGTGATGTCACCCCCCTCTGGACCATGAAGATCTCAGCTGTGGAAGCAGTCAGACCATGATGGAGTTATCCTCTGTCCTAGGAGTGGAGCTGTACA